TGTGTGTGTGTGTGTGTGTGTGTGTGTGTTTGGGGGGAGTTGTAGACGAAGTTATTTATTTTGCCAATGCAAAATATGTATCAAAACAGTGGGAAGGGGTACGTATGATTGGAGGCAGTAATAGTAGATGCATTTTTTGGGGGGTGGGGCGGTATCTTTTTGTTCTGGAGATCAGCCTCCAAGAACGGTGGCTATAAACACACGGGCCTCGCACGCTCATATGCAGTTGTGAGTGCCCCAAAACTCTTACCTCCCCCCAAAAAAACAAAAAAAACCCAACAGCATGCGGGTCTAGAAACGAGTTCCCCTGTCAAATCAAATCAGCGTTATCGTCTTGATAACTGCTTTTATCGTTAGCTTCACATCTCTTGTTCATATCTGGGTCTCATCCGTTTATCTATTACTGGCCGTGACTCATATTGTTTCAGTTGCTGTTGGTGTTGATTCTGATACTTTTGATAGTCTGGTATCGTCACGTTAGTGAGCATTTTTTATTTGGGTGGGGGTGGGGGGGGGGAGTATCATTTGTGTATTTCGATTTTTTTTGTAAGTAATCACGTTGATTTTTATGCGTGGAGGTTATTGCTGTTATTGCTATCATTCTTGCCACTGGATATGACGTTTTTTTTGTACCTGCTGTTCTATATAAGAGAAAAAAAACCCAACAAAAGAAACATGATAAAGTGCTCCAACAACGACTTATAGTACTAGATTCACTGCGTTTGAAACTGCTTCACCAGGTAACAAACTACTGTGTCCAATAAACTGCAAGACATACTCACAGCCATCAACTTGAGCACTGAGGAGAAGCAGACAAAAACACTGGACCCCTGCCAACCACATTGTCAACTTTTGGTCTCCACCTTGACTTTACGTTTAACCCAACAAGCTTGCCCTCTCTGTCCAGATGCCCTGAGAGAGCTAGCGTACTGCAGGATTCGTGCAACTAATAGGCGGTGCCAATTGGAGGAATGGTTCGGTTCAGTTCGGTTTCAGGGAATTTCAGTGCACACTATAAATAGACCAACTGCCCAAACCAATCCCCGAGGCGCGGCCAAGAAGACAAATTGCGTTTGTTATAGAAGGTCATTTTCGGCTTTGTTAGTTTTGCCGGTTTTGCCATCTCCCGTGGAGGACAATCTGGCTTGCCTCAAACCGACAAAACCGACGAAACCCAACCGAACCGCACCCACTTTGCCAATGGGAACTGCCTATAACAGGTGGTACAGAACGTTACAACGAGTCGAATTTTAGTTTTCAGACAACGTTACGTGGATCTAAAGAGTCAAAAGAGCTGGGAATCTTGTTTTACGCTCAGTGTAAGTTCTTGGGAACGACTTTCGTCCAAGGGTATTCCGACCTGAGGGTAATTTCATCTAATTTTATTTCGTCTCTTCATTGTCAATACTGGCGTAATTTAGCTCTATGACGATTATTAGGTACTTGAATTTCAAAGATTGGGAACTATTAAAAACACCGCCAGCTTTGTGATCCCAAGGAGTGTTTTGTATTTTTGCACATACGTAGTGGGTTGCCTCTACGCACAAGTGCAGGTGACATATACACTAACTTGTAAAAGAAAGGTACAGTTGGTCGCGTTCAACCTGCATAGCGCTATCTCTCAGCTCGAAACAGTCCTTGGATACATCAATACACATACTCTCATGTCCAGAATCTGCTTACGTCACAGTTTAAAGGCATGCAACGACCCGATTTATCCAAATTCAGTCGCCAAACAATGCCTAACGGAGCTAAGGGAGTGGCCGTTTCGTTATCGCGCACAATCTACCAAACGCAGCAGCCAGTTTGGCCATTAGCACGTACTACAGCATGTCATATGAGGCTTCACGAATGAGAAATGCTGAAACCAAAAGAGAAGCCCACAGGCTGCGCATATCCGCATATGAATGTGGAGCTTTGGAATGCCCAAAGTGTGGCAAACTTTTCTCTGCCACTTTTGGTCTCATCGGCCACAGCAGAAGCCACGAGCCATCTTTATTTTTTCCCATTATTCTAATTCTTCCATTTCGCTTGAGAAATATTCTCCTCTGCGGATTGACGGACGAGCTATAATAATAATAATAATAATAATAATAATAATAATAATAATAATAATAATAATAATAATAATTATTATTATTATTGCTTGAAATGCCTTTTATGACATATCATATTGAAATCCCACCGATATTTAAGGGAGAGAAATTGTTAGTCACCGTGTTTCTTACATTTAATCGTTATTTAGGTGAGTGACCGCAGCGCATTTCACACAAGTTCGACTCCCCGTTCAGCCATTTGTGAGCTATAACTGTAGGACAGTTTGAAAGTTCTTAAACATTTTAATAAGCAGCAGCCTGCACTGCCTTGCAAGAAACATACGAAATAAAGCAATCGACATCTACATACAGTTGATTTGATTCATGGTCTTCTCTCTCTCTCTCTCTCTCTCTCTCTCTCTCTCTCTCTCTCT